ACCCTTATATTCGTCTTTCCTGCAATGACTAAAATCATTTTTAACGGTCTTTAATTGATTTTGTAGATCAACTATATAAGTTTTCATATAAACTAATTGTTCTTCGTATACCTCTCTTCTTTTTGCATTTTGTTTGATATTAAAAGTGTATTGTGCCGACGGCGTGCGTATATTGAAAGTGAATTGTACCGATAGTGTGTGTGTGTTAAAGGTGTATTGTACCGATGACTTATCTATCTTATCTATCCTATAATCTGATATTTTCGAAATTAGTTAACAAATCTATATTAGTAATAAATTCGTATTCTGTTCTGTAACCAAAATACTTTTGCAAGAACCGAATCCAGTAACCTATAACACGGCACTAAACACAAAACGACTTGAAGAGTTTTAAATCTGACGATCAACACCAACGGAAGACCATTTTTCATAACATTTTATATAATATGGTCAAATTTGACGCTCAAAGTTAGCGTCAAGCGTCAGCATGAAATCGCACCTTAAAAGTTAGGTTTTTTCCTTTGAATAATAATCGGATGGTTGGCATCTTTAGGATGCAAATCCCTCTTGGGTTTTCAGAAGCGGTTACCTCCTCGAGGTTAGACCTGGGCAATGGATATTACTTTCCATGTTTATGTTTATCATATTCTTATATGCTATAAATTCCATGGCAAGTGAAATCTAGCTAAAGACCGCTTATACCATAAACATTACAATTGTAATTAGTTTCTTTGACATTTTTCCAATTATCATATTTTTATACCTTTCCTTCTTTGATTCCTTCTATTTAATTCATTTACAGAAACTAATTAATCTTATAATGTTTTTTTTAATAACTTTGATATATTTACAGGTAATCCTTACGTAGAATTTTCAACACACATTTTTAGGACAAAGAAGGGAGAAAAAAATGAAATAGATTTAATAAAGTATTATTACAGTTTTTAATTTGTCATAAAAATAAGATATAATTAATTTTACAGTTTTATTTTTATATCATTAATTTATCAGTTATTTGTTTAAAAAAAAAACAAAACAAGAAAGACATTATTCCTGACTAAACCATAGATAGTATCTAACATCATTTGCTCAATGATATCAGATTTTATGTTTATTGTCTCATAAAAAATATATTAAGCTACACGTTTTAACTTATACGGTAGTTTATGCATACATATTATTGATAACAGAATGGAGAATTTATTGTAAAAAGAAAAAATGTAATATTGAAATATATTGGAGGAAAAAAATGTTTCATAAAATAATATATTAATTATAATAACCATTGATTCTTTCAAATAAAAACGGAACAATGTGTATGTATGTATAATATATTAATATATATATTTATATATATATTTAACGTATCACAAGTAAATATGTTATGTATTTTACAATGTAATACGGAGAATATTAATTACAGCCTCTTATCGTAGGCAAATGATCAAAGCCTTGCTGATGGTGCATGGTCGTGCTTTTAGGCCGATTGTCATTTTGACCATGCGTGATAATGTTCATTTGAGGAAGTTGTGGTAATAGCATTTGATTGAATCTTGAATTATCGGTCCGATATCCATGATCTTCAACAACGTGATTATTTATTTGACTAAGTCTCGAACGATCTCTGTACTTTTTGAGTTTCTCGAATTCTTCTAATTCAACGTCAGGAATTTTGAAATGAAAATTTTCGAAGTATTCATGTTGCAGTAATTGTTCACACGTCAACCTTACATTGGGATCTTTGTCCAAACATTTTTCCAAAAAATCAATCTATCAATAAACACAAAATATATATATATACATTATAGTGAACAAATAAAATACACTGTTTGAAATTGTCACGTTTAGAAAAATGTGATTTACGATTGAGATAAATATAATAGTATAGATTGTAAATGTTACCTGTAAATGCGTATTCGGTCTATCAGGAAAAATATCTTTAAATCGTATAAGTGTTTGCGGTGATGGAAGCGTTATACCAGCAAAGAATTCATTTTGCTGAAATATTGCTATGTGTCTTGGTAATAAATCACCCACAGTTCTTCTTATTAAATAAAGTTGATCCACATCTGATTTTCCAGGCCATAGAGCCTCTCCTCGAATTAATTCGGCAAATACGCATCCTATTGCCCAAACATCTACAGGTGTTCCATATTGAGTATCACCAACCTGTAAAAGAAAACCGAAAAAGTTCCAAAAACAAAAATAACATTGCTGAAAATGTTTATATGAATAATTATTAAAAGATTTGAAATTTATTTTCGTTTAATTTACCAATAATTCTGGTGCTCTATACCATCTCGTTGCAACATATTCCGTGTAATTTTCACCTGGACTAAGCATTCGTGCAAATCCAAAATCACAAAGCTTAACAACTCCCTCTGCCGTAATTAAAATATTTTCTGGTTTAACATCTCTGTGAACGCAACCAAGTCGGTGACAATATGCAATGCCCTGAAGAATTTGCCATGTGAGCTGTTTGATCATGAGATCTGGACAACCATGTGGATATTTCTCCATCTCATTTAATAATGTATGTTCGCAATATTCAAATACTAAATGTAACTTCCTCTTTCGTCTGAATACTTCCAGAAGATTTACCAAATTTGGGTGTTTCAAATTCTGTAGAAAAGAAAAATAAATAGAAAAATAATAGACAAATTTCATTAGATTAACACGTTCCCTCTGACGTACACGTGTACACCACCGGTGGTGGTACACTCATGTTTATAACAAATTGAAAATATTCCTATATTCAAATATTGATGCATTATACAAAATACAGTATATAACAAAGCACATAAGTTTATTTAATTGTTATATTTACAATAATTAGTAATTGAATGTAATGGTTGATTTTGTTAAAGCAAAATTAAATGGCTTGAATGGCAAGTCAAATGAAAAGGACTTGGCACGCGCGAACCGTGTTAAATATTATATCAAATAAAAAATAAAAATGATTAATTTATATCGATAAAAGAAAGTCATAATTATATAATCAATTAAAAAAGACGTGCATGTGAAAAATATTTTCTCAAAAAAAAAAAAAGAAAAACTGAAACGTTCTGAAATAATGTAAGAGTAATGACCGAAGTATGCGAGGGGTTCTTTGTATACAGGTACGCCAGAACACATGCCCCAACATATTGACCAACGCTGTATTGACCGCTTGACCATTTCATTTAAATCGTGGTTAGGGTTTATTCATTTCCATATTCATTCACATGCAGTTCTTTTTTTTTTCGCGAATAAGACGTTTAATTTTTTGAGCGTTCAACATTTACAAAAGTAAAGGATCGTCTTGCTATTTGAAATGTATGTATAATTTTTGGTGTGTACATGTGGTATATGTGTCCACATATTTACAGAAATATTTTCATCATATTTTAACAATAATATTAAGGATCCAAAAGACTGACCTTAAGCAATCGTATTTCTCGAAGTGCAATTTTTCTTATAAGAGGATCGTCCTCTGTTTGTTGAAATTTTTTGACGGCTACCAACTTTCCCGTATGCCGATCTCGACACTGGAAGACAACTCCATAACTACCCTCCCCAAGACGTCCCAATCGTTCATAACGTTCCATTGCTTTGCTTGGTGCACGAGACCTGTGTATAATAAAACGTAATATCTTATTTTATCTTTGATAATAAGAAAAACAAGAAAAAAAAAAACAATACGAAAAATGAAGAATTAGAAAATAATCATTTAAAAACTGTCTTTACTACATCTTTACATCTTCTAACTTTTATATCTACTTTTACGCCATGTCAATCGTAGCTTTCTAAAATTTTGTTCATTCATCATTGAATAATCTATATATACATGTGATATCATTTTACGTAATATATATATATGTGTGTGTGTGTGTAATTTTTTTATTATAAATATTATATCTCTAATGCATAATTTATTAACCCTTCGAGTGTTAAATAACTTTTAACTAAAATGTTTTGTACAAAACCGAAATATTTATATATTTATTTAAATAGATTCTAATTTATAAATTATATTGAATAATTACAATTTTTCTTTCTGAATATAATTTAATTAATTAATATAAACATTACATTATTTTACATTAATAATAACAAACACGTATATATGTATCGTTAGGTAATTGTTACCAAACGCATATATACGTCTATAGCACTCTAAGGATTAATAAATAAATGTTTTCTAGAATTATCTAAAAAAAAAATGTCTTCAATCACACTCATGAATTTCATATATACATATATATAGACATTTATGCATATTTATCTATACATATATAGATATTACAATATATTGATTGTGAGATCGCAATACTGATACGCACTTCTTATATTTGGCAAGACATGGCAAGGACGTAAACTGTTGGGCAAAAAGCATGTTACGTTGGTGAACAATGTAAACTGCACTGTCTACATTTTCTCTGCTGACCAAGGGTCAAACTCCCCAAGCTCGTTTGATTTTATCCATTGGACGGCATAAGACGCATGCGCTCTTTTCTTCAAGGATTTTTATTTTACCATACGAATGTAGTGAAAGTATGATAGTTATGATACATAAAAAAAAAATACAAAAAAATTTAAAATGAAAAAAAAAAAAAAACATTCAATTTGATGTTTACAATTTAAAAAAGAATCGCGTACCAAGGATATCGGAAAGATCTCACGTTAGATTAATAAATCCATATTATTTTCCAATATTACGGCTGCGCAAAGCTTTAAAGCTTCTTTTTGTTAAGTTTTTTTTTTATTATAAAAGTACGATACTTTTAATAAATGATATTAAAAGACTGTTAATTATTATTCTTTCCTGTATATTTTTATATGATGATAGACAAGCAGTAGCTTGTTTGAGAATTGTAGCAAATTTTTGTATATGCGCGTGCGCGTGCATATACATGTGTGTGTGTGTGTGTATGTGTGTAAAAATAAAAGAACTTCACATATATATACTAATGAATGAAAAATATTGTAAACTTACCATAATGGTATAAACTGTCTATAATTAGCAAATTTCAAATCGTTACCCATCTCGATGTTGTTAAAATAAATATATGATGAATTATCATATGAAATAATTTCATAATAAATTTAATGAGAATTATTGAATAAAGTATATTAATTAAAACTGTAAATTCTTAATAATGTTCTAATTATAATTTGCATTGTATTACTGTTGTTGTTACATGTAAATGAAATCGGACGATGGACGGCCGTCATTATCTTCGAAAGGTTAGATACGTTCTTACAAACGTCACACTATCGATCATAAAAATATCATGGACTGCTTGAAAAGAGACAAATGACGATTTTATAAAAATTTGTTAAATAATCATTAAGTATTATTTGAAATTAAAAAAGACAACCTTAAAGTTTTTACTTTAAATTTTGAGAATATTTGATCTATTTAAATAATGTACCATAAAATATATCTTTTTCTGTAACGACCTCGTAATATGTTATAAAATATATAATATAACGTAATATTATCAGATAATAATTAACAAATAATAATTAATTGAAGACAAGGAGTAATATTTCAATTTGTTTACGTACAATAAGCCTAAGATAGTGTTCATTGAGTTTGATTGAAATGCCTTCCTTTCCACTAAACATACTGAACAATACTAAATGTGTAGAAATATTGCTTTACACATTTCTTGTCGTTGAACGCACGATTATTAACGATCGATAATATGCTATAGTTACTCCATGACCAGTCCATGACCATGAAAAAGGTGAAAAATATTTCTTTTCCGTTATCCACATGTAATCCATAAAACAAGAAATAATCCAAAAATGTGATACCACATATGATATAACAATAATTTTCATAATAATAATAATAATAATAATAGTTATGCAATAATAATTTTAACAAAAAATAATACACATGAAAAATATTGTTATAATATTCTATAAATAAATAGGTAACTAATATTTAAAAAAAATTAATGCAACAACGTTACGTTTAAACAAAAAAATTAAACATTTTGTGTATGCAGTTACAATAATGAATCATTTTCATTAATACTTGTATGTATCTTCGATATATGTATGTACACATATAAAAAATCGATCAAGGTATAATATTAGTTATATATAAAACATCACGACATATGCTCACATACGTTAATATATAAGTAACATGCATAGGTCATACGTATGTATATTATAGTTACGTGTATGAAATGAATATTTTTCTATGCATCATCATACATTGCACAGTTATAGATTCAACCTTGAAAATATTTACCTTCTTGGTAGTAATGGAAGTGTACTACCAAAAAGCCAAAGAGTACTATCTTGAAGCCATTTCTCCATGCAGAAGCCACTCACTAGACGTTAGATTCACGAATGATGTCTTTTTGATTGACTGATATTATTAATACCCATGAAATTCGTTTAAAATGCAATCCAAAACCCGTCGACATTATTAACTGCATCGAATTGTTCTGTAAACTGTCAAAAGTCTGATTGCAAATGTTACACCAGGTTACTTGATCGAGACAACATCCATACGTTTACTAACTACGTCATTTCTAAGGATCGATATTTCGTAAGAAAAATTCTATTCGTGTTTAAATGTCACGCAACCATTAACGTATCCTTTTGATCTATATATAACTGATTATATCGGCAAGCATTAAAATATTTTCAAAGAGAATTCGTAGAAACTTTGTCTTTCGATATTTTTAAATAGACAAAATGTGGACGATATCATTGATTAAAAAAAAAAAAAAATGTATTCAAATGTAAAAAGTTTAGTTTTATACTATCAATTATACTAAATAGTATATATATATATATAGTTCTGAACATTTCTTTTTATTAATGAACTATATGTTACTTTTACATTAGATCACTAATTTAATTGCAAATAATTGAAATTATATCTATCAGAAAAATCGATAATCGAATTAAATTCTGCTTAAAATATGAATTTTTGTTTTTTTTTTTGTTTTCATACCCTTCTCTTGACAATTAAATTGTCAAGAATACTTACATATCTATATGAAATTTATGTATATCGTATAAAATTTATATTATAACATTTTTAATCATAAATATTTGTTTCGCGTTGGCCACTGTATGTTGGAATTTCGTCTGGCAGTTTGCAGTAATATTTAAAAATTAAAACCATATTATAATATAGAATAAATAATAACATTTTTGAAATAGAAAAACAAATAACTCTCGATAGTGCACTTGTTCTTTTAAAACAAAACAAAAAATAAAATATTAAATTAACAACAGATAAAGTACATAGATAAGTATATAGATAAGACAAGACATTTGCTTATACAAATAATTTTGTATAAGTTACGGTCAATGTATTAATGAGGACATTTTACAGAATGCCCATAAAGTTTAGGTCAATCTAAAATGACAGAAGAGAGAGAACCTGTAAAATACTTGTTCATTATACTCATTGCTCATTTTACATAGACAATCAATAAAATATACGTTGCTCATATCATATACAATGCATGTACATGATATTAAATATACTGAACGTTTTAAACACTCTTAGCACTTCGTTTCATAGAATGAGAGGATTTCGTAGTCCCTTGACTTTCTCCTCTAACTGTAAAAGTAACGAAATATCTTTTGGTGCAATCTAATCTTTCAGCTGGTAGAGCGATAACTTGTTTTTCGTCACCGTGAGTTACTTCCACCTTTGATAAATCAAATCAATATTATTTGTTTCGCTTTAATAAAGATATTTCAGAAGATTAGTTAACTTACCGTCATTTGTCCTCTTCCACGTGTCTCGATTTTTGGAAAGTGATCCACTCGTTCTTGCGCCTCTCCGCCAACTACAATCATCGTCTATTATCAAAATTCGAAAGATCAAACATTTCATGAATTATCACAAATTCCATTTAATCGTGTACTTACAATTAGATATGTAACATAACTTACTATAAGTATAAACAGGTACTGAAGTATAAGCAGTTGTAGCGTGATGACACCGATGAGTTTTTTGAGTACAATATTTTGCATCTGTACAAAAATTTGGGGTGACCGGTCTCCTTTGTAATTTCCTTAATTGTTCGTATAAGAAGGCTTCGAAATGTCTGTCGAGTATGAATGATAAAATAAAATGTATAATATTTCTAAATTTTTCATTTGACTGTGTTAACAATAGAATTAAAAATACTGAAAACCTGAATGTAAATGGTTGATCATATTTAGCAACACCAAGAGTTGGACCAGTCATGCCAGCTTTATGAAATGACTCAACCTACAAATTATTTCGATAATTACGTTTTTTTTTTTTTTTAAAGATAAACTATAATCCGATTTTCTTACCTGTCTTTTAACCAAAACTTGTTCATTAGCTCTACCATGCCTAATCTGCAACCTTTTAAGTTCCATCAATTGAAAAAAGATCTTCCTTTCTAAATGATAACGACGCAAATTAATTTGAACGTCTCTCGTGACGGTATCTACATTGAGAAGCTGATGTTTATCAAGTTTCGAACATTCAACCATGTTCTTTCTCTTTGGTATTTTAGAAACTCTCGGACTTGGTTCTATTCCACTATCTCTACCACCACTATCACGACGACACTGTTTGGTACATTGTCGAAAACGTTGATTTTCCGATGGAATTTTAGGTATCTTTTCCGAATACGTGCAAAGTTTTCTTTGAACCTGATAATAGGAACGTTCATATAATTTCAATGTGTAAAGTAATATACAAGAGTATTAAATTACCTGTGGTAAAGTAACGATAGTCGAAGTTTTGGATGTACCGACGTAAGTTTCTTTCTCACTGGTACTCGGTAAAACTCTGATAACACCCATTTCATTATTTTCTTCTTGTCTCGTATCACGTTCCCCATCTTCTCTGATTACTTTTCTAATTTCTTTCTCAATTTCTTCATCCTCTTCAAACCATTCCGGACTCTCAATAACGGCAACTATAGCACTACGATCTAAAGAACGTTCATCGGATTTGTCAAATAAATTTTTAGTTCTGTTCGATGTTTTTGTTCCAGTCAAGGGACACTCAGCTTCTTTTGTCTGCTTTCTCAACAATTCTTTCGAATACCTTGAACGTCTTGTTGCCATTGGTGACAAATTCTTGACTTCTGACACAGATATAACAACACAATATTCATTTGTTTTCTAAATATTAAACAATTCAAATGTATTCTCATGTTTACCTTTATTTAAAAAAGATTTGTCCTCGTTTGTGGTATTATTTGCATCTACTTTTTTACCAATCCTGACTTTATTAGATTCTCTTGTTTTATGTTCGTCGAATTTGACTTCGTGAACGGTACCCTTAGCTAGGACTGGTGTATTCGTTCTTGAAAAGTCATTCTCATCTTCTCGTATCATTACTGAATCTCTAGAATCTGAAGATAAATCTACAGATTTGCCACGTGCAGAATCTACTTGTTCTTTATCCTCAAAAAAATCATTGCCATATGGTGCATCGAAAGAAGGAGATGATGCCTCATCCTGACGTTTCTCTTGTTGAATTTGAAAAGATTCTTTATTCGTTAAGTCAAAATCATCGATGACAATATTCGATTCTTCGACATCCTTTTGCACTGTACCATTTCTACTGTGTTCTTCTTTCGAATCTATTGTCTCAGTTACCTCATCTTTTTCTTCTTTCGAAAGTTTTTCTAACGCCAAAGTTGGCATATCTTCTTTAAGTGATTCTTTCGATGTATGAGCATGTGAATCTAATTCTGAAGGCACATTATCCACACTGCTTTCAATATTTTTCGGAGAACTCGGCGAATTGGTAGGAATTATTTGATCATTTTCTTCATTTTCTTTTTGAGAATCCTCCTCTCGTTGATCCAGACGTCCTTCTTCCTGAGAATCCAATGAAGTGCTTTCGGGTTTTTTTACTTGGAATGCGCGCAACCTACCTAGTGAATGGTTTCTATAGAAAACGAGGCTAAGATTATAACATTTTTAGTTTATACAAAGTAGGATATTGATTGGCTCGCTTGATCTAATTAAAGTTATATATCTGAGTTTAAAAAAAAACCAATTTAATGACCTTAACATAGATTACAAATGTTCAAAACACGGTGCTGAAAACTTGGTCAATACTTTCCCTTTTATAAAATTGGACTTGATTATCGAGATACAAAATAAAATGTAAATTTATTATAAATATTAATAGCTTAAAGCCTTACCTTCAACCTCTTCAACCTCGCTTACTACCTTCTCATCATTATTCCTTTCTTTTACGTTATCATCATTCCTATCTTCAATACTAGATCGTATATTTTGAATATCCTTTTTTAAATCTTTAGCCTTCATGACCAACGAGTTAGATAATTGATCGGATTTCGTTTGAACATCGTCCACATTACTTTGCAATTCTTCATTGTTTTTATCAGATATCTCTTTTTCCAAAGCATCTTCAAAAGTAACTTCCTTCGAAGTTTCCATCGTAGATTTTGGAGTATCTGGTCCTTGATCTTTGTGAACCATCGCAGTAACTAAAACTCGTTCGACGGTTTCGTGACTTGTACTATCAGTCACGTCTCTATGATGATAGCGTCTATCTACGAAGGATATTTCTTTGTCTTCTGATGTCGATGATTTTGAAGCAACTTGATCATCATCATCGTCAACTTCATCAACATTTTTATACTCTTCTTCCTCAATTTCTTTTTTGTCTGAATGTGACTTTGATTTAGCACTTGCTGTATCCTTTTCAGATACCTTGTCTGATGTTTTATCCTTATCGGATAATTTATCTGATGTTGTCGATACACAGGACTCTGATTTCTGTCTCAAATTGCTTTTACGAGATCCTCTTCCTTTACTATCTTTCAAATTTTCTTTCGATTTCTGTGCTTTTCCTCCGGATACAATCTTTTCACACTTTTTCTTCTCAACGGACGTTCTCACCACGATTACTTCCAAACTGTCATCGGTACCACTGTGCTCGTCTTGATCACTCTTTGTTTCCGGTTGTAAATTCTTCCGATTGGCTCTACTTGCTTCAATCTCTGACTTTGATCTCTTTTTATTCTTATCCGCTCGACATTTTGATCTCCGTCTTCCAAACTTACGTTGAAGAAGAAACGTCCTTACCTTTCCGTCCTTTCTTAAATCATCTTGAAAACTATCATCGCTATAATTTATAGATGAATCGCTATAATCATCCTTAGATCTTGCTCTAAGTCGTCTTTTTCTTCCTTTGCGTGCTAATTTTTCATCAGTAGTCGTATCATTATCGTCGTATCTAAAAAAAAACATCATGTGCAATAAAAAATGAGTACAAGCATAATACTTTAAATTAATTTGTTGTCGAAGAAAACGCATACCTCGCAGATTCGCTTCTGCTTCGTTGCTGGCATTCTTTTCTCGAAGACCCTTTCTTAGATAGTCGAATTTCTTCTTCACTGAAACTTCGACTATCTCGTCGCAATAAATTCTTGCAATTTCCTTTCTTTCGTGTCCTTTTCTCGATCCATCGTTCCTCGTAATAGACACGGGGTGCCTTGCGTGCGTGATCCCATTTTGGAGAACTATCTTCCGAATCTGTGTCACTCTCAGTACGGTTAAATCGAAATTTTGCAGAAAAAACTGAAAGACAAAGAGGATATCATTAAAAAAGCATAAAATAAGTGAGTCATACCATTTGTGTTTACACAAACATTCGAGGTATTCGAGAATTGAGTTCTAACCCTTCCCAGGTGTACTCCTGCGATCTCTTAATCGTTGGGCAGTAGTTCCACCATGCATTTGAATTAATTTAGCACAATCTCTGTGGCCTCTATAAAGAGCAGCATCCAAAGCGGTCATCATATTACCCTTGTTAGTCCTTAGAATGGCATTTATTTTTGCACCATGATCCAAAAGCACCTTGCAAGCATCCAAATGACCATGAAGTGCTGCTACATGAAGAGGCGTCTTACCGTCTTGCGTAACGATATCCAACGTACTCGGACGTTTTTTAGCCAACCATTTGAGTAGTTCGATTCTTCCGGAAGCCACAGCCTCGTGAGCAACCCCTGTACCTCGTACTGTTCTAGCATGCAACGAGCCACCATGTTGCGCTAAGATTTTTAACGTTTCCAATTGACCCTTAGCTGCTGCACATAGGGCTGGCCTAAAACATATTAGTTTTTTGATTAATTTGAATAGACATAAAAGAAATGAGATTCCAACTTACGTTCTACCCTTTCGATCTTGTCGATTTGGATCAGCTCCTAATTTAAGAATCAAGGCCGTAGCGTCGGCGTGACCGAGCGTAGCGGCATAATGTAGAGCGGAACAACCATTATCATCTACATGATCGGGCTGGGATCCGCACAAATTAATCAAAGCTTCGACACATCTTGCATGACCTCTCGACGCGGCGCAATGAAGTGCAGTTAAGCCATCTTTATCCGATGCTCCTGCGGCCGCAGCTCCCCCGACCCTTTATCGTTTATCGACATCGACATGGTTATCTACTTGCTATCTATCTACTATCTTCGAATATTTTCATTCCCTTTCAATTCTCTCTTACATAATAGATGGATAGATATATACATAGGTATACGTACATGCCAAATTAGTTAGGACATATTAATTACCTTGCCAAAGCTAAAACTGCCTCCACGCTACCGGCACTAGCCGCCCATAAGATTGCCTGTCGTCCATCTTCATCCTTCGCATTAACGTCAGCTCCAAATTCTATAAGAGTTTGTAATACCTTTAAACCAACTTTCTTTGGAACCGCGAGTTCGGCAGTCGCTGCGGCACCGCAACATTGCGCTGCGTAATGGAGGGGTGAACCTCCGCGAAGATCTGGCGTTGAAGGCCTAGCACCTGCAGCTAAGATCAGACGTACGCATTCCGCTTCGCCGCAAACTAAAAAAAACGTCAATAATTTATAGAAAAGTTCTATCTACGAAGTACCTATTTATATCGTATAATAGTTCGGTATGGTTCTCGTCATAGCTTAGCATAGTTTACCCGATAGCTAACTCGAATATTTATCGATAACACCAATCATAGGCCACGATCTTTATATCGTCTTATATCGTCTTGCGTGTTGCTTTTATGCTTAGAATTACGTCACCTCATAGTAGCTGACCCACTGACTCATTACGTCAACTTGACTCACATTTACTTTTCTACTTTTTAATCTATACTTTTTACTTTAATTTATTTCTTAATGAACATATAATAGATAAAAACTTGTACCTAAATGAGATCGTTTTTTCTAATGAGACTTAATAAAATGCATCTTGCCGAAACCCCTACCAGTGGCCCAATGAAGAACGCTGTGACCTTCCAAATCTTTGGCATTAACGTCGGCACCATTTGCTAATAAAACAGCTACCAACTGAGTATCGCCTGCAATGACTGCAAGATGAAGAGGTGTATGTCCCTCGGCATCGGGAGCATTAACCAATTCTGGTGCCGCTGATGCAACGGCACCACCCGTTCCAGCATCCATACAGTAATGAAGTGCACTTCTTAACGTTCTATCTCTATAACAGATGCTCTCCTCTTGCTCCCTCAATAATCTCAAGACTTTATGTCTGTCGGCCTGCTGGCAAGCGTGCATCAAAGGTGTGGCGCCAATTTGCAATACTCTACGAAAGTAGAGTAGGATTTGTTTTCGTGTACAAAAATAAAATAGAATAAAAAAAAAAGTATAGAAATTATAAATCTAATCGAGACATTACCTGTAAGGTCTCTTCTTATGATGATTTTGATAACATGTAGGATAATTGACGTCATGCGACCACGAATTTACAGCAGGTTTTAATTTCTGTCGGTGATTAGTAGAAGGTATCAATGGCGGCAGAAACAAATCGGCTACGCGTTCCTGCTTCTTTGCTTGAGCCTTCTCTGGAAGCTTCAAAGGTATAGGTGGAGTCTTAGTGTCCATGCCCGTCTTTGACACCGTTTTTCGACTAATACAACCTCAAGTAAGAACATCTTTTGCCTTGTAGTCGGATCGAACTCATCGTGTGCAAGAAAATCAGTCCGGTCTCGCCGCCCAGAATGTGGGTCGACGCTTTAAAAAAGTAGTTGGCTTGAATTTCTCTCACCTTCTTAAAAAGATATAATGTTGATGACCGAATCGTTGGCGTATAATTCACTCCTATTTAATGTTTCCTCTTTTACATGTACTACACACATATACACATCGCGTAATACTAATGTTATTCCATATTATAGTACAAAAATTCTGTCAGTGTTACATCTACGTATTTTTTTATGTAACCTGTGACAAATCATCTATCTTTATAATTTAAATATAATAATTAGCGTAAAATTAACGCATGATTTGTGCTTATACATGTGTACAAATAATAACTCACTTCGTAAACGATGTCAATTGAAAAAATGTATTATGAAGATCAGTTTTAAATGGTAAGAAAATAATTTGATGTAACGATCACTGAAGCAACTTACATATCTCAACAAGTGATTCGTGTCCACTATAATGATGCTTCGTAGAAGCTAGCCGAAGAACGACAAACGATCTACTATCGTTACATCTGGATCACTAGGGTCTAGCCCAAATTTAAAGTTTGATTACTGACCACGTGGTAGACTGACCAGGTCACTCGATACCATAGAAACCAACCGTCACAACATTTAGCACCAATAAAGAACCATACTGGAAAATCTCACGACAAGGTCGCCACGTGTTTAATCCTATTATCTTACAATAGATTATTTTACATTTCAGATGTTAGATACTATAATACTATAATAAATGAATAATTAATATATTTCATTGTGACAATACCATGATTATAATTAAAAATAGAATATTAGGGAATGTTACATGTTGGTATCGTTAATATTTTCTATCTTTCAAATACAATAATTCTTAAAATAAGTTTTATGTTGTAGGAGAGAATATTGATGGATCGATAACGATTATATCGCATATCCAATGTTTCATATAGATTTTCAATGAAGTATAGACAATCGTTTAACGATTCGTCCTATTAATTATTTCTTCGCGTGTATATATATATATTCTAAATGGTACCATCTGTACTAATACTTAATTTATTTCATTTTAATGAAAGATTAGAATGATAGGTAATATGAAAAGTTTAGTCTTTCTTTGGTAATGCATAACTCTTGTAAAAATCAGCACAGTAGCATGCGTTCTTGTTGAGTAAATACATATACATAAATACATCCATGCATGCATACATACATATGTTGCACGTATAAGAACCCACGTGCGCGCGTGCCATAACGTGAGGGTGACTGAAAATCGTTATTTCGTTGATTCAGTGTGCAGCACGTCAATCGTTATTATACCGTTAATAATTTGTTGAGACCTTCACTATTCGTGTGATATACTGAATCACCCCGTTAAAAATTGTTCATCATGATATCACATAATTTGTAACGAGATATACTCGTGCGCAATGAGATATTAAGCTTACAAAATAATCTTCAATCTTTCGTGGTTATTATTTTGACATGAATATTGGATATTAGAAATATGACATTGATACAAATCTATGTAAATTGTTTGATATCAATTGAAAGCTTATAATTTACAATTTCAAGTACCTAATTTAATTGATTATTTATCGTTAGGAAAGATGATCATTTTTTTTTTTTAAATAATCTTATTAATATAAACTATATATATAGAATGTAGATGTAAATGCAGATGTAAATGCATAGTAAGGATAAATCTTTTTCAGGGACATGATTTTGATGTTTCATATTTTAAAGAAATTCAAAACTTACTTAATAAAATAATATATCGTACATCCTCTGAATTCATCGTGATTTAAAAAATGGCGCGAATTCGAAATTTGAATCTTATGATAGAAATACAATTACATTCAACCACGAGGATTGTTTTTCACGAAAATGAGAAACATACCTTACTACTGTACGGTACGTACTGACGCGCTGATTCCTATGTTAGGCTTCCAACTAATTCAGGGGTTGCTTAGTTACTCTTCACTACAGTAGCACAACAATAAGACTCGCTCGTATTATTAATATATAACAGCTCGTGATTAATTTCTCAATGTACTCTTGAATACTTTTTTTTTAATAACAATCAAACAATTGACTTCAATGATGATGGCCCATCTACTTTTAAACCCATCATTTAAATTTCTTTCATAAAACTTCTGTTTATATATGTATTTTAGAAACCACTAAAGTAACATTGGGGGTATAGCTCAGTGGTAGAGCATTCGACTGCAGATCGAGAGGTCCCCGGTTCAAACCCGGGTGCCCCCTAAAATCTTTTTTTCTTTTTGTTTTTTTTTAATAATTATTAAAAATCTTAATATTTTAATATTTAAAACTAAAAAAGATAACTAATTTCGTTGAATATGTATATGATAATTATTTGTTATCTTTATCTTCTTTTCGTAAATAAGGAAGAAGAAAAATCTCGTTTATATAATTATAATAAATGATATTTCATCATAATTATAAATAAATAATGATATTATGAAATGTGTTGCATCTGTATAGTAATTATAATTCATTTGAAATAATGATCTGATAAAAAAAAAAGTGCATTATCGAATGTCACTATTGTTGTCACTAGTCACATGAGAGGTTAAAAATTATGTTGGTGGTACTGACATGAGTAGTAAGAGACCATATAACTAGAGAACCTCGAAGTATGGTGACGTGTGTTGAGAAGTGTCTTGTATTTTAGATTTGTAAACTAATATTAACATAATAAACGCACCTAAAATAGAAAATTAACAGTTTATCTTAAAATATCATACTATTCGCCAAACTATATAAAATAAAACATGAATTATAGTCAAGGTGCACGTCGTGGTAAGTAATAAACGAATGAACAAAATCAATGAACATCAGAAAATAAATTCTCCCATGAAATATCCTATCAATTGATAATAATGTATTCTTTTCATTCTTTTTTGTGGTACCTTATTCGTAATTCATTTAGAAAAGATGAATGAATTAATGGAGGTTATGTTACTTTACATTCTATATTAAGTATCATTACTTTTTTTTATATGAAAACAAATGTCAAATAGGTAAGCCAAAGAGGTTATTAGATCCATCGGCTGGTCTGTCAACACGTCCTGTGCCAATGGTAGAAAATTCATATATATACAATCAGCAGGTAAAAATATCAATTATACAGTGTTCTTTATATATCACATGTAATATTGTCAACTATATTTGCATAAGGTACCAACAAACAATGGCGTGCCATCGGAATATATTTTCAATATGCAAGAACAAGCTCCATCTCCAAGTGGATTTACCCCAATGACACCAATGCCAATGCAACATTATGCACCACGTAATGATGATCGCACAGAGAATTATACCAATCCTCAGTTCGCAGCTCAAATATTGTCGCAGCCAGTTGTTACAGATATGGCTGTACAGTATGGAACGGCATTGGTAGGATCAGGAAAGCAACACTTTGAAAAATATGTGCCAGTTAGAGCATTAAAGTATTATTTTGCTGTGGATACTAATTATGTCTTTGGAAAACTTGCAATTTTGTTCTTCCCATTCACTCACAAAGTAAGTATTTAATTAAAAATAAATGAATATTTCATTAATTGTTTAATGTGTAATTGTAAAAAGTATTAAATGAATTTAATATTATTAACAGGACTGGACTGTAAAATACGAACAAGATATGCCCTTGCAACCACGTTATGAAAAGAATGCACCGGACATGTATATCCCAATGATGTCATTTTTAACATATGTGGTACTAGCTGGTTTGGTTTTAGGTGCTCAAGAACGTTTCAGCCCTGAACAACTTAGTATATTAGCTAGTTCTGTATTAGCTTGGGGTATAGTGGAACTAATAGTTCATATTATCAGTTTGTATGTAATGAATATCGAAACAAGCTTGGCTACTTTGGATTTACTGGCTTATTGCGGTTATAAATATGTTGGTATAAATGCAGCTCTATTGAGCTCATTACCATTTAAAAAAATTGGTTACTATGCAGCATTGTTATATTTTAGTGCAACATTAGCATTTTTTCTCATGAGATCTTTGAAATTAAGAGTTATTCCGCAGGGTCAGATTTCATATACAGCAACAGGTAATAGAAGAAGACTTTACTTTATATTTTTTGTAGCAATTATTCAACCTTTATTGATGTGGTGGTTGTCTTACCATTTAATATAAATAAACATTTCGAGTACAAAAACTATCCCTTCAACAAATAAATAAAATGTATATTTATTATAATTTATCGATTATACATTTTTCTAATAAAAATTTTACGGATATGATATTGTTTCAGTCAATCTACAAAATGTTATTCATTTATTGTTAGTTGTTTAGTGATAAGGTGGAAAGGGGAAGAGTGATTTTAAGCTATTATAAATGAAACAAACCAATTTTTGAAATTTAAAAATATGTATGTACACAGGTTCTTAAAAATTTTTGATCAATCTGTAAAATGTATTTTAGCAGGATTTGTCAAAGTACAAGGAGGGATTCTATACTATACATCCATGTTTCTACATATTATAAGAACTTAGTTTAATATATTGCATTAATTTTTTGTATTCATGGTCTCCGACTATCGCTCCGTACAGATGTAATTATTATTCACTATATTAATTAATTATTATAAATAATTTTTTATACGATCGATAAATCAGAGAAAGATAATTTCTACTTTATCGACAACTGTCGGTAAAAAATTCATTTTAGTTAGCACCGGGACCACCAGTAGTAAACTATGGTAGTAGGAAACGTTCCCATTGGTTGCTTGCTGGACGACGATTTTGAAATGCTTTTTTACGATCATGAAGATGCACCGACATGTGTCTATACTCCACACATTCGATCTATGATCAGAATAGGAAAGCTTGTAGTGAGCATCGCGAAAAAGGGCGTTGTATGACACAAGAAGTATATTATAAAACTAATTTAGTTTAAAGAACATATATTTGTAGTGCGGTTCTGTAATCTTACAGTTTATGGCGCAACAAAAGAGATAGATCGAATTAGTCAGCTGCAAGCTGCGGTATAGTGTCGGTGTTTGTTACTGATTTTTTTCTTGTGGTGGCCAACGGGCCAAAAATGGCGGAGAGGATGAAGGCGACTGCACCGACGACGTCTCGACCAGTTCCAATGAAACTTTTTGCTGCTTGGGAAGTTGATCGTACTGCACCGAATTGTATACCAAGGTAATTCAAACAAAACTACCCTTGTACATTTATTTTCATCGATTGTTAAATGCGTCGAGCTTATATTTATCCAAAGTCAACGCGTCACTCTGAATACGAGGTCTCTTCTCTTTCTTTTTTTCTTTCTTTTTTCTTATCTATGGTAACTCTTATACATTTTATACCAATAAACAATTTTTTTTTTTTTTTTTTTTAATATTTTTCAATATTTCTACAAAGACGTATGGTTGTGTTGAAATATTTCAACATTTGTCAACGATATTTAATTTCTCGATGACACATCAATGTATTATCGCAATAATAACCCGAGGACTTTAACATGTGTGACTATCTGTCATCTGTCAACAGATTTCTCACATGTATCAAAATGTCAATGAACATTCGATGAAATTTTGTAATTTTTAACGCAATACAATAAGACATCATTTTTTTTTATTATATATTTTATGTGATCATTTGTATTTTTTTATTTAAATTTATTTAGAAATTTATAAATGTTTTATTTAGGTGTATAGGTATAATAAAGGTATAGGTATGATTTGCAATGTGCATTTATTTGTAATCAAAATGAAAAATTCAATAATATCAATATTACAAGTATATCAATTTCTTTTTATTGTAATATGTACCATTAGGAATAATGTTGTAATATGTTTTTGATCTTTTAATATACTCTATATAGTACATAAATAAATGCTCATGATCTTTAGGGACTCTTTAGAAGTGTAATGCTCCAACTGCGATTATACTTAATAATCTTTACTACCTTGAATAGGATACATATATTATTGAAGGCCGGATGGGTAAAGTTACCATGAATTTAACTATAAATGAAGGGGAAGTGATATTAAATCGTAGATTGAATATCGTTGATATATATATACACACAACATGTTTTACGCACTAATATAATAATATTACAATTATGAATTATTATATTGTAATATTATACATAATATATAATATTTTAATAATACAATTTAAAATAAATTAAAATATAATAAGATTCTTTCCCAACGTCTCACATCGATGCTTCATTTTGTTTTTCTTATCAAATCTTGATAAATTCAGAGATAAAACTGGTTTTTTTTTTAGAAGATATATATATATATATGAATGGGATTTGTTTTTCTTCAAATTTTTTAAATACACATATGTATTACAGATTATGTTCCTTGACATTAACACGTCTGGTTACACTTCGGCCTTTGGGTTCTGATTTAACATCCATCATAATTGCTGTAAAAATGCACAGTTCTAAAAGAACGTTGCGTTCTAATGAAATGATTATACCAACTGGAGGTATGTTAGATACTGAGTTAGAATTACAATTTGCTCTTCAATATCCACATTATCTCAAGAGAGATGGCAATAAATTATTAATATTATTGCAAAGAAGAAAACGTTATAAAAATCGTACAATGCTCGGATATAAGACTCTAGCTGAGGGAGTGATTAACATGGCTCAGGTAAATTGTAATATACATTAAACATTTTTGTAAAGTTTTATGCTTATTATTTACATTCGTATGTTTATTGAACATAAATAAAGAGCTAGAGTTATAGGTGTTACAGAAACAAATGGATCTTGAATTAGAATTGATATCCGACAAAGCAGAAAAGTATGGTGGACATTCTGTGGCTCTAGCACGTGTTAGTGTAATAGCACTAAGCTCTCAACCAGTTGATCATGATAAAAGACTTACCAATGATCCAAATGAAAGATTGTGTCCAGAATATAGTGACGAGGAAGAAGAATTCAGTTCGGAGGCTGAAGCTGAAGGTAGTGATAGTGAACCAACTCTGGAAGTACATAGACGAAAAAGTCGTGGAAAAATTCCTACTAATGCTAGAGTGCGTAAAACGTCCTTTCTTTTAATTAAAATAACTTTGTTTTTATTTATCTTAAATTCTTGAGAAATGACTAGACAATGTTAAATTGTATTATTTCGTGTATTTTACAGCAAAGAAATCTCAAACAAAAATTTATAGCCCTTTTGAAGAGGTTCAGAGTCTCCGAAGATTTGGATCACGATCAAGAAGAAATTGGACAAAAACTTTCAGGTATATGCATACTCGATGATAAATGCTTCCTTCGGCCCTTATATTCGGCCGATCCTAAACTGGGACCAAGATAATCGAAGCTGTATGTACTAGATTTTGTACGTAATCGTATCGCGTTAATTACTATTCTCAGGGGGCGATATGGAGATTGAAGAACTATTCGACGAACTCGAAGATTTGTCGGACAGTGGTCCAGAATTGGATACTATGTCTGTCAGTAGTACACCAAAGCCTTCGCTACGGCCTTTTTTCAGTTCCAGTCGATCTCTTTTAACACCTCCACATTCAGGTAAAACTCGACGTCTTTCATTTTATTTTTTATTTTTATCTCCTTTTTGTTTTCTACCATTCATACCACTTTTCTATCTTCTCTATTCTCTTTCTCTCTCTTTTTCTTCCCCTTCTTTGCTTTATCTCATCCCTAATCCTTCTATTTTTCTATTTAGCTTATAGAAAACGCGTTTTGAATCATTCCATTCTTTGTATTATGTACTTTGGTTGTTAATCACAGAAAAAAAAGTATCTTTCATTGACGCGTTTTAATATTATAAAATTGTAATATTCCATTATTGGCATAATGTCTCTCTCTAATATCCGATACATCTAACACGGTAAGGATCATATTGTGTTCTATCTAAGATATGTGTTAATTGTTAATGCTTCAAGTTGCAAATTTTTTGTTTATTTTACGACAAAACGCTTTTCTCACGAATTATTCCATTTATGCGAGTTAAGAAAATAATTAATAACATTTTAAAACATCATCGTATATCAAAAGTACATTTTTCATTATAATTATCAGACAACAAATGTTGACGTTTGAAGAAATATACAATATATTATTGAATGTATTAAATTGATAAAGGTTTTATAAACGGAACCAATGTCGTGAGCGTATATAGACATGAATTATTTTCTTTATATATATTGTAGTATGTATTTTGTGTGTACATATTATTTCATGTACTGCTGTATACGTATATACGTTGTTAACAAACATCGTGAGTAGAAGCAGCACTATTTCATATATGTCTTTCATATTTGATTCAGGACTTATAAGTGAATAATAATATGAACAAAGTGCAAGGTGCATATATAAAATATATTACATTAACCACGCATATATACATCATTATATATCTATCGTATCAAGAGAGAGTTGATAATGTTATTTCTTCTATTACTACATTACACATATAATTAGTTTGATAATATCAGGAAGATCATAATTTATAATATCTTTTTATTCTTATCATTTATAAATGTCATATTTTCGTATAATTAGTTATTGATGCTGCATGATAATTTATTCTATACAAATAAATATGATAGTAATCCTTTCAGAAAGGATGGCTTATTTTATTTTGAATATATATATATATATATATATTATTAATGTGCATTCATATTTTTTGGAATCAAATCATTTGCTCAACGCATTTTGCTTTAGTTTTTATTTTCACACATTGAATTATTACAGAAGATCAGATTGCACGCAAGTCATATAAGCATCAACGTATAATATATGTACGTATAGACGTTGGAAATTCTACTTACGTACATCTACTTACAAGAGTTCGAGAATGTATTTGATTTTGTGGACTTCCAAAATATATTATGTTATACAAACTATGATATAAAATCGATCATCTATATCTGGATCTGGAAATTTTTAACTAAGTCAAGATTTGGTCGGTTGGCTTTGCACTGTTGCATGTTACAATTCGGTAGTAGTAACAAGAGGGGAAGCTGACAACAACACAATGAGTACCGTAAATCAACACTACATTGGAAGTCAACCAGCCAAAGACAAGCAGCATATTGGACATACACCATCAGCAGGTATGTAACGTGAAAATTCGATATAACACATACAATAGTATCAGTGAGTAAAATTCAAAAAGAACAGCATGTTTTTTTTATATATATATAAATTCAGCATGAAAAGAAAGAAAAAAATGTATCGTCGTAATAGTATCAAGTATGTAATATCTATCTATAGCTTTAATAATCTGAATAAGCTTCAAATAAGTAATATTTATTTGGAGTTATTTATTTAAGTATTTTTTTTTTTTTTTATTATCTGTCTTATCTTCCTTTTGTTATTTTCTTCTTTTATTTCTTTCTTTCTTGCTTAATAAATTTATGTTTTGTTATGTGTGTTTTAAAGTGACCCAGTTAATTCAGTGCTTTGATATTAAATTCATTGCATCTAGGAATTCGACAGTTTCCTTGTAAGCTAGATCAAAGTCATCGAAATTAATGGAGAAATAATATTTCAAAGAATAAGATGTATTACTTTATAAATAAATATACTAAATTTGTTCAAAAGGCACCGAATTAATTGCTATATCTAATATAGTAATCTTATAATTAATTAAAAAATCAAATTATTATTATTGGTATAAATTGGTCAAAATAGTTTTATAAATTGATATGATTATATTAACCATTTAAGCATTAAGTTTATTAATTACCTATAATTAATATCATCAAAGATTAAAATTCAAAACTATAAAGTTTATCTTTATAAAATATATCAATGCATTTATTCCGATAGAGTTCAGAATAGGCCTAGTACTGGAACTTTGGTCGTCCGTGATAAAACTTTTGAACAGGTCAGCAACTTTAGGTATATTTAGGATCGATCATAAATCAGACGAAGGAAATTAACGAAGAACTTAAGAAAAGGAATCAATCTAGACAATTCATGTTTTTATTCGGTTAACAAATTACTCAGCTCGCGGTTGCTGTTTAGGCGATTAAAAATCAAGATTTACAGGACAATCATCCTGCCGGTAGTCCTTTATGGTTGCGAATTGTGGTCGCTTACGTTACGGGATGAAAAGAAATGTAGGGTTTTCGAAAACAAAGTTCTTCGTAAAATGTTCGGTGCAAAACGCGATGAGGAAACGGGAAAATGGAGAAAACTCCATAACGTTTGAAGTACATCGATTGTACAATAAACCGGGCCATTATCAATATCGTAAAATCATGCCGATTAAGATGGGCTGGTCACGTGACGCGGTGCATGGGGGAGAGGATCGAACGGCGCACAAAATATTGGTCGGTATACCAAACGGGAAAAGACCACCAGGTAGAACGAGACGTAGATGGGAGGATAATATTAGAAGAGACCTGAAAAAAATAGGATACGAAGACCGTTCAGGGACGGGAACAATGGCGGGATTTGGTATTTGCAGCAATGAACTTTCGAGTTCCCAATGCCAATTAATAATAATAATAATAATCAATGCATTTATTATAATTTACATGATCTATTTATTATTATTTTGTGTAAAGTAATTTTGAAAGTATAGTTTTTATAAACAATTCATTAATAAAAATCTTTGTTATATTTATTTTAATTTCATAAAAATGTATAAATTCGTATAATAAACTAAATAGTAAAGGTGTAAGAAGAATAAATGCATAACAGTATTTTGTATTCCTGTAATCATTTCTTTTTAGCAATTACATTTCTTTTTGATTGCATTTTTATATTAATACAATGATTTTTGTTTATTTTATTGAAATATACAATTAATAGTTTAATTTTAATGATTTAACAGGTTTGTTTGAATGAATGCATCTAGTAATTTTTATTGGCTTTCTCCATTCTTAGTCTTTCTCTTTCTCTCTTTCTTTCTCCTGTTTTCTCTCTCTCTCTCTCTTTTTCAATCTTACACATAAATCTTACGTACATACTTTAATCGTGTCCATCGGTCCTCTATATACGTACGTATATATTTCTGATATCAATTTTTCTATTCATTTCTATCAATCATTTAATTGATGTTATACTACTTTTCAGTAATCAACCCTACTTGAACGTGATAATTTTATTATAACAACATACGTATATATATATGAATATATGTGAAAGTAATTTTATTAAACAGATCCTGTATATATTGAAAAATGGATCTTTCTATCTTTCTCTTTCTCTTTTTTTTTTCTTTCTATCATTTATTCTCTTACTTTCTCTCTTTCTCTCTCTTTATTTTTCTCTCTCAGGTAAATCTCACATCGTTACTAATTATTAATATTATTATCAACAAATCGCGAATGTAGTTTACGTAAATGGACTTCACCTTCTATCTCTTATCTATTTATCATTGAAATAAATTGTTAATAATCTACAGCATATAATATAATAACAATTTTATAAGACAAGTGGAAAGTAACATGATTATGTTACAGAACGTGGCGTCGACAGACAGAGTGACGATAGTTCAAGGAGGGCAGACAGCGATTCTCATCCGGAAAATTGGACCGATCATGAAGCTAATGATCCGCCAAGTATCGTCGCCGGATCTCCACCAAAGTCAGAACAACCGAATAAAAATGAAAGTTCCGACAGGAGAAGTAGACTTTTTACTCGTGATCGTGGAACACCTGGTAGCAGTAAATCTAAAAAGCATAGTCTCAGTGTCGACTTAAAACCATCTGGTGACTCTAGTAGTTCAGAGGTACTTGGACATTTGTTCAATAATATTACATGTATATGTAGATATGTAATATCAATGATGATAAGATTTTTCGTAATGACAGCCGAGGAAGGTCCTAGTCGAACAGTTGAGTCGCGTCTTGCCGGATGACAGTTTACCGGAAGCTGTATCCCTGATTTCTTTAGCAGACCCAGGAGGTGCTGTACTTGCTGCAAGACTTCAAGAGAGAAATCACAAAGTACTTACTACTGCTTCCCCTGCGGATATACGTGCCACATTCACGTGTTTGGTAACAAGGATACAAAAATTGTAATTATTCATTTTATTCGAAATATTTAGTCTAAGAGAAGACAATGAAATAAATGGACATTTTACAACTGTTTTGACTATAGTTGTAACAGTTCTGCCAAGCCGCCTTCCCCGATAAAGGTTGTAATCGCTGGTGGTGATAGTTTTGTTAACGCAGTGCTACGACATTATGTAGAATTATTGAGCTTCAAACCTCCCGATTGGCAAAATTATTTAAAGTTTTTGGTTGTACCTCTTGGCTCTAATACTTTATCTAAATATCTATCATCCGTGGATGCCAAATATTCAGTTCTTTTCGGTGACGAATGGAAAGAATTACTTGAAAGAGAAGGTGGGGGTGCAAGTGAAGGTGCAGCTAGAGTATCCGAATACGTAGCTACAACTAATACTACTTTACCATTGCCAATCGCAGAAGCAATGGTAACATATAGGTAATATCTTTTTAAGTATAAAATGCATGACACTTGTTTTTATAAATAAATGCAAATAAACATTAAGTTTTAATTGAAATCATTTTATTACAGAGAAACTGATGACAGCAGTCAAATATTTATTCCATTTGTAAATGACGTTCGGGTTGGATGTCCTGACAGTAGTTCTTCCGCGTCAGTCGATCTTGAAGAAAGCAATATTACTATGTCCGGTTCTCCACCGTCTTTACCTCCTCCAGGATTATCGATGACAATTCCACCTCCTGGCAGATTGACTCCACCTAGTAGTCCTAATGTAGGCCAACCCATCAGGGAAGGTTGGGAACCTGTAGAATTGCAATTGGATTATTGGGGCAAACAAACTCAAGGAGAAAAAGGCAAGAATACGCTCAGGCAAGCTTTTAGGGTGTTACACGTACAAAGACTTCCACCATTAGGAGAAGCTCCTGGTCATCATCTTTCTATGAATTATACGACCAAAGAGAAGAAACAGAAAAGTATGTACTTGACGTCAATGGCAACAATTATTATACTATTTAATTTGACATATCTAAAATTATACATTTTTTTGTTAATAGTAATGAGATTAGGAAAAAAGAAAGAGAAAGAAAAGGAGAATGAACCGAAAAGTCAAACTGTAGATGGTGTTACACGTTTGATATGTTCGGCAAAAACTCATAACATTCCATTGAGAGGTAAGAGTCTTATTTTATAAAAACTTCTTCTTATTGTTTAATATTTAATGTATGATATTATAAGAGAGCTATTGCATTATGGATGTTTTTTTTTTTTTTTACTTTAGTGAGCATCGATGGTACTGAATGGTACAGTGTGAAATTTTTCCAACTATCGGCGCAGTGGCAAACGCACATCAAGACCTTCCCTCTAGCCCTCTTTGATTATACTCCTCAGCCACAAATTTTGAACCCTGTATGAAATCTTTCCCTTTTATCATTAATTAAATTTCCTTAAATTTGTGTATTTAATATTCCATGATGGGGTAACATTGAGAGACTGTGCTTAAATAGTAGAAATATGCAATATCAATATAATAACCAGCAAATTCTTGGAACTGCCTCGTTATTATTAGAGATTAACCATTATGATTTTTATGAATAACTTATTAAGTGTAGAAATTAATTTGATGCCTCGATATTACAATTATTTATAAACTCTAATTTGAATTGTTGTAAATAATCTTTCGTCATTTTATAACGTTTAACTATCAAGCATTTGACTATTAATCAAAAGAAAAACTATTAGTTAACAATATGGTTGGCATGACTCATATGTTTGTTTAAAAAAAAAAAAAAAAAAAAAAAAACACTAAATTAATCTCTACGCATATATATATATATATATAATATGTTTTATCTCCTAATTGCATATAAATCATATATTATCATTTCTATTTCTTCGCCTATTCGTATAATACAATATATTTATACCTAATGCGAGCTCAATTTTCATTACAATGTTCATTTAACAATGTTCATTATTTTGATATTGATCCATAAATCTGGGAAAGTGCAATTTTAATATATAATTTATTCCACAATTTCTTAACATGTTATTTGCATAATAGACTTTGTATACAACTGAGGAATACGAAAAAATGCACATAGTTATTGATTATATTAATTATAAAGCTATTATTATATATTTAGCCAAATGTTTCTGTATTTCGCTTATTATTTTATTTTTCTATTTAGAAATCTTACTTAAGTTGTACATATGTTTTATTTGATCATAATATGAAGATATTATTGAATCTCTTCAAAATGATTTTTTTTACAATTGCTTTTATCCATATTAATTATATTATGACGTAATATAATTATATACATTTATTTTGTTTTTTTTTTAATTATAACATTGATTTAAAAATTATGTTTCCTCATTTTTCTTTCTCTTTTTTTTTATTCTTTTGCGATATGCAAAAGATACAGCGACATGAATAATAAATACAACTTTTGATGCACAAATATATATAAAAAAAAAACCTCTATAAAATGCTATAATGTTGAAAGGAAATTATGGAACAGTGTCTGTTAATGTTCAGAAAAATAAGATGTTACTTAACAAAAGTATTACCAATATTAACAAATGTTAGGTAAAAGTTTAATATCAATTGACACGTTCCATTTAAACAATTACATTTCCTGTTATATGTTAGACAATTGTAAACTTAACTTCCACTGCAATAATAATGAAACTTGATGTTCATACATTGTGCCATATAATATGTTTATGTGTTGAGTATTCTATATATATATATATATATATCCTATTTAAATTGATAATAATTTATTTCTTTTTTTTCTTTAAAGAATAACCAGCTGATATTTTCATTAATTCATTTCTTTACAAGATTAACAATTTATTATTTTATCATCGTTTGAAAGATATATTTTATATTTATAGTTTGTAATTTATAATTTCAGATTTAAAAAAAAAATACTCTATTTTCGAATATTTTTATTTAAAAATATATCGTAAATATAAGAAAATTTCTATTACAATAATAATAGTAATTATATCAAGATTAGTAATTACAATTACTATTGTTGCCTTTATTATACTACTGTTGCTGTTGTTGCTGCTGTTGCTGCTGATGTTGCTGATGTTGCTGCTATTGCTGTTCTCACTACTAYTACTACTACAGGAATTATTATGAATATTATTAACTATGATCATCATCTTGAAAATATTACATACTGATAAAAATATTAAATTGGCCAACTGTAAAAAATATTGTTTCTGTATTTCTGTCGCTCATTAACGATTTTGGTAAGCATACTGTAAATATGAAAAGTATGAACAATTAGCATTAATATTTCTTTAAATAATGTGAATGTTATCTTTTAAAAAATACAGAGATAACATACACATAAATAACATATATATATTTTGTATTTTCTAACTTTCTTCTTCCTTGATAAAACGATAAAAATGTAATTGTTTTATGCAACATATATAAGTATGTGTCACCTTGATTGCCTAATGCCAACCTAATATGTGGATGACTCTATCCAATTTATAAAAAGATTCTATTTACATGTTACTGTATAACAAGTGCGATGATAGAAAGGTCCGGTAATGATTACCACTTGCTAAAGTAAAAATTAATGAATATTTTAACATGCTTTCATATTATTTGCTGGTCTATATACAATTATTTATTAATAATAAGTATATGTATAAATGTGTATTTGTAAATTTCATTGGTGTGATTAGGAAATGAATATTTTGTCTGCATTTTTAGAAATAATAGTATTACTAAAGTTAAATTCATGAAGAGCAGTATTGAATGATATGTGTTCATTCCAATCAATATATCAAAATTAATGAAAATTGACATATGCGTATATTCATCATTTTATAAGATATTTATTATCATAAAACGTACAAATGTTTGATAAAATTTGCTTTTGACACATTATTACCATGTATACATATATATTGAGTTGCTTATCAACAGTTTTCAAATATGCAGAAATATTTTAAGTGAATAATTTCATTATTCATATTTATATCATGTATCTAACAATTCTAATCATAGGAAATAGTGTTTTTTGTATATCTATTCATTTCTTTCACAAAAAAATGTTGTTTTTTTTCTTTTTTAGTAACTGATTAAATGTTTTATTTAAAAACATGTAAATTTTACATGCACTTTTATAAATAATCAAATGCCAAATAATCATATAAACAAAACAAAAAATGTATACCTCGTATATTATTCAAAGTATTTACATACTCATATATCATCATGTACAAGTTGAGTATTTATAATGTTGCATATATAACATAGATTATTAATATTCGAATAAATAAAAAATAAACAAAAAAAAAATAAAAAATAAAAAAGCAGAAACTGGTTAGTATTTAATAAAAATGTAAATTTGTTTTTTTTTTTTTTTTTCATTGATTTTTTTCTTCTAATATAATATTACTAATTATAAATGAGTGATTGTAGTTGTAATGTTTTGTCTTTATTTTTTATAATGATTTTAATATATAAAATCTAATAATATTATAATACAATATCTATATATTATTATATGAGTTATAATGAATAAAATTTGTTGTATTATCAGCTCATGATCTGATGATATATACATAAATGCACAAGTAATTGAATTAATAAACATAACTCGCCATTTTTTATTCTAATCACAATCTTATATTATTATTTCATAGGGATATAGATGACTGTTGAATGAGCATACATAGTTTTAAAAAAAAAGTCTAACTAGATGAGCCTATGTTATTTTAATTTAATATGGCAATACTTTTCAGATTGTGATAGTACTTTACAATATATATATATAATAAATACAACAAATATAAAATGTATATTTGTCTTTAGTATTGATAGTTTTATTGAAATAAAAAAAAAAAAAAGAAAAAGAACAATTGGACAGAGCTTATAAAAAAGCGATTAATATTTTGTTTCAAGTTGATTATATTTTCATTCATATTGGAAAAATTCGTTATAAGATTGTCAAATGTTGAAATCAATAAATGTCTGATATACATAGTAGTAATATCATAAAGTGGTATGTCAAATGTTTTATATGTGTAATCGTATATACATATGTTTATGTAAATAATGGAGAGACAAGAGAGAAGAGGATGTGATGGACCGTTTTGGATATAATTTTTCGTGCTAACTTTATATCATCTTTTAGCGTAATATGAAACTTTTGTGATTTATTTTCGATTTTCAAAAATGACTGCCAGATGTTTGAAAATGTGACTTTATCATAAGATAGTTATTTTTATCTTTCTTTCTTTTTTTTTTTTTTTTTCACTATCGTATCTTTATTTATAAGATCATGTTCTTCTGGTAGAAAATTTGTTTAAATATACATGGAGAATAAAAAATCATTTGGATTAATTTTCATTAGTTCTTACATTGATTGTTATGCACGATCGATATTATTCGATCGACAGTTGATTTCATTTGAATTTTAATTCTTGTGGTAATATAATGTTAATAAAAATGATATTGGACGTACGTTACAATCCTCCCATTCGTGTAATATTTTATTAATTTTAAAGCTAAATTTCAGCTATATGCAATTAGTTTGTTTATATAAGTGAGTACTATTGCAAAGTTAAAATATATATATGAAATAAATTAGTAATATAATAATCGGCATAATTATCTGTATAATTACACCTTCAAACAAACAAAAAAAAAAGAAAACATTCGTTGTATTATATTTATTTGAGATAAATATTCAATATTAATGATTCCGAAAGTGTATATAAAAATTACATTATCGAAAAACTGAGAGATTATATTTAAAATTCATGAACGTTTATCAAAATCTACCGTTGTTTAACACTTATTATCGATAGTATAATAAGTGCAAATGTGTATGTGAATATTTCATTGATAAAATAATCAGATTAAATAAATAAATCAAATGTAACATGTAAATGGACAATAAGTCTTCGATTATTATATATAAAAATGCAACAAGAATGAAACATTTTGTTAACGAAACACACTACGATTTTCCTTTTTTGAACCTTTGTCTAGCTAAAGCTTTATTATATTTTGGATGTTTCTCTTGTTCATTTTCTTTATCAGTTTCGTTATTCTCAAATTTGTCCTTGTTGTCTTCGGGATAAAGATCTATTGGTGGTTCAAGCAATGATTTCCTTTGACATTTGACAAAATAACGAAATCCTTTTGCAATACAAAATCCTAGCATTGCGATTGAAATTGTTAGTAAGGCCATCAATAATGGATGCTGTAATTTACAGGAAAAAAAAAGCATAATTGCATTCCACACAGGATTTAAAATTCCTATATGATATATTTAAAATATTTTGTATCTTACCGTCAATGTAGGCTTGTTAGTAAATACATAATCTGCTATAACAACTATTACACCAAGAATGATACCAACTCCTGCACCGAGCCATGGGATTTGTTGATCAGCTGTAATGTAAAGTAACATAATTTATTAATTATCACATCAAAGTAATCAAAGAAAATAATCAGAATATTAAATATGTTACCTCTTCTATCCTTCATTAGCATCATGGATGTTTTATTAATTGCTGTTAAAATACCAGGTTCATTTGGTTGCAATGACAGTGCTTTGTTGTAAGACTGTAAAGCTTCGCTAAAACGGAAAGTTTGAGATTCAACTTCGGCTTTCCTAAAATAACCCTAAAACAAAAGTCATTGATCCGCATTAAAGAATACAAGAATAAATGAATTTTTATATTTGTTCCTTTCTTTCTTATTTACTTTCGTCCAATCAGGTTTTAATTGTATTGTCATTAGAGCATCTTCCATTGCAAAATGATATTGATGCATCTTTAAAAAGACAAATGAACGATTACTGTAAAGAGAATAATTTTGTGGATCCAATTTGATCGCATGAGTGTAATGAAACATAGCCTCTTCATATTTTTGTTCTTTAACACATGCATTTCCTAATTCCTTTAAATTTTGTACCTGAAAGTTCAAAATTCATACCTGTATAAACTGTCTGACATTTTTTGTTTTGTTTCTCTAAAGCATTTACAGTAAAATATACAGTAGAAGTAATTGATGATAATAAAATTTCTTAGAACTTACCTCGTTCTCTCGAGGATTTGACATTTTGCATAAGTTTAGATAAGACTTAACTTAGAAAGTACAAATTTTCTCATAAGATTTGAATTATCGTAGGTTTTATATCATTGTTTTAAAAACCGACAGCATTCTCCTTATTAAAAAATTGAATAAAAATAATAAAGATAAGAGAAGATGAGAACCATTTGGTCGTGTATACTTACCGGTGCAGTCATGCGCAAGACAAGTCACGTTATGGCAAATCCACGTAGTGCACCATTCTATCGCATTACTGTATATAACCTATATAGTGTATTTCGTTTCATTATGTCTTTCTTTCCTCATATGACAGATGTAATGCGCATGCGTTTATTCTACTGTAGTAAAAGTCAAGTATCTAATATATATATATATATAGATAATACAAATGTTTAAGGTTAATAATTTTATATGAATAATATATGAATACATTTATTTATATATTTATTTGTAAATTAGTTTGTTATAGAAATAGAAGAAAATTCTTTGAATGTTTACATTAATATATTTATCAATTAAATTTATTTCTATTTTGAATGAATGACTGTAAAAGTTATCGCAATATAACAACGTAAGTCAAAATATTTTGGATTTCAATGAATGACTGTAAAAGTTTTCGTAATAACAACGTAAGTCAAAATATTTTGGATATCAATGAATGACTGTAAAAGTTTTCGCAATATAACAACGTAAGTCAAAATATTTTGGATTTCATTCATGTATATTTCACGTAACAATTGAATTTACGCTATTGTTTCATTCAATTAACCCATTGACATGTGGAAGTTTCTTTCTTTCAAGAAAATTTTAATACAATTTGATACAATAGTGGCATATTAATTATTTCTTGTATTATTTTGAATTATATTTTGAAAAAAAAAAATACGACGTTTATTTTAAGCTATGTTATTATTATGAATACGCCATTTTTAATTTATTATATCATAGTAAAGTTACGTTCTGTTTTTACATTTTTATAAAGTGTACTTGACGTAATGTACTCTTGTAAAAAGAAACAAATACAGTTCGTTAAAGAAGCTCTTTTCATTCTTTTGAAATATAACGAGAAGCAAAGAAATAAAAATACGCTTAGCATTCATTCATTTTTATTTGTGTAATTAAAGACGAAGAGTTATATACAAAAAAAAAAAAAAAAAGAAGAAAAATTAATAATAGGATAGTGCGATGAAAAAGATTAATCAATTTATTTTTGTTCATCGTTTTAATGATATTTTCTGTTTTATACAAATTAAGTAGGGAGAGTTATAATACAAACTTAAAATATATACATACATCGATATTCTTGTGAAACGTTTTTTGTTTTTGTTTTTTGTTTTTTGTTTTTTTTCAAATAGCCGCGTAACTTATGCGTTAATTCATAATTTATTATAAGTAGATCTCCTTTGATAACGCCCATAATCTTATTGATTTATTTTTTTTTTTCTTGCTATAATATATTTTCATTTTTATTTTTATTTTATTTTATTATGAAGCTACAATCGTGTCTTTGTATATTACAATGCAACAAAACTGGCAAGTTTTCGATGAGTTGCTCTAGGACCATATCGAACGTACGACGCCCTTTTATCCCTTTGGAGGATGGAACTTTTCAATTTGTTCCGTTATTTTTGTTATTGTTGTTGTTGTTGTCTTTCACGGTTGAAAAAAAAAAAAAAAGTAAAAAGGAAATGTAAACAGCGATGAGATTTTTTGATGAAAAATGAGAGAGATATGACGAACGACGAGAACAAAAAGAATTGAGCACACTTTTTTGAAAAAAAACAAAGAAAAAAACAGAAACAATGCGTCTGGAGATACGACGGATAGATTGAGATCTTTTTTTTTATATATATTTATAATATAAGATAAGATAAGATAAAAAAGAAAGTATCTTATCTTCTCCAGAACGCGTTGACGCAATTATTGCCCATCTCGGGACGGAAATTATCTGGGACGATTTAATACTATCGATAATATTTCAATGTCACTGGATCGTCCGCCATTTTAACGCTCATTTTCTTTCGCCTTTTTTTTCTTTTTTTTTGGGGGGGGGGGAAAGAAAAATAAAATGAAGGAAAAATATTAACTCCCGTTTGATTAATAACATCATGCTTGATGTAAATAAAAATTAATAAATAAAATATAGGCTTAATTTATCTATTGTATTTTTTCTTTCTTTCTTTCTTTTTTCTTTTTCATTTTCTATGCACGAACCACATTTAAGAAGCGTAATTCATTACCATCAAACTTTAATGTAAATTTGTATTATCTCGTTTGATCTACGCTTAAAATATATTTTATTTTATACAAATACTTCTTCTTCTTCTTCTTCTTCGTTTAAGCACATTATCAACATAACAATCATTGGTCGTATTCAATTTATTATAATCCATAGCACAATTGTATAATATTTTTTTTCTTTCTTTCTCCTTCTCTTATATCTTTCCTTCTTCTTCTTCTTTTTTCTTTTTTATTCATTTGACTAAAATCGTTCGATACTTTGGCGTAACATGCACGACGAACTCCCATATATAAAATAAAAGCACGCAACGAACGATAAGTTGTTTTTTTTTTTTTTTTAACGCTTGGTATCGATTGACAATAAGAAAAAAACGGAAAAATGGTTGAAAAGGCGAGACAATATCGATTATCGACTACGTACACCAACCACATTTTATTATTTTCATTCTTTCGTAGGCACAAATTCATTTAGCTTTCTTCGTAATAAATCACTTGTGAAATGTATTCCTTCTCTCTCTCTCTCTCTCTCTTTCTCTTTTATATTTCTTTTATTTTTCTTCTTGTTTACATAAATCATTAATAAAATTTGTATTCAATAAATTAATTATTAAATAAAAATAACACTTTGTTTGACAAACGCATCATTGTTAATTTAAAACGAAGAAAGTTCTTCTGTTTTTTTTTTTTTTTTAATTAAAAAGAAAATCCAATTGTAAGAAAGAGAAAGAAGATACAAAATCGAAAAAACCCTAAATTCACTGCTCCTTCTCAATGACATTTTTTAGTGAATCGAAATTAAATTGGCTTTAATTAGCCAATAATATAATTCCTCTTTATTCATATTCTCTTTTTGTTTTGTATACTCGTAATTAATGAATATAATATATATATATATATATATATATATATAATACATTTGCTCACTATAAATGTATTAGTAATAATTATAAATATTATATTAACTATAATGAATATACGAGCCTTTGTTAAGGTGATAGTCGTCGTCGATAAAAAAAAAAAATCATGAATACATTTATTTAATATACTTATACAGAATAACGTTACAAATATTTCAATATTTTGTATTAAAACGTCGAATAAAAAAAAAGAACTGAGGAAAACAAAACCTCGTAAAAATAAATGTAAAATTATTCTGATTTTTTTTTTTCTCATCAAAATTTCATCACGTTAGACATAAATTTTACAACCCTGTTTTTGATATCGTTATTTGTGAACTCATTCAATCATGGAAATAATAATCCACGTCAAAAACATTACCTACAAGAGTTTCCAAATTTTTTTTTTTTTTTTAATGTCAGAGAAGTCAAAGAAAATATTTCTTTTTGTTTTTACATTGTGCGAATAAAAATAAAATTAAGAAATTGAATTATAGTTTATGTTCAAAATAAACTGCTTTCAAATTATTAAAAACTTTTATCTATTGGATTGGCAATTAAATCATTGCTGAGTTTAAAAGGCCACCTATCGACAAAATCCGCAATCATTTACTTGGTAACCCAATATATACAAGAATTATATATGTATATATATCTACTGAACAATAACAAATTAAAAAAATGTAATATTATTTTGTATTTTTAACCTTTTCGTTACTAGCGATTTATATAAGGGTTGTACGAACGAATGATCAGCCCCCATTAAGGGTCAAACATTGCTTCACATGTATATTTACAGTTAAAGAAAGACCATAGAAAAAAAAGTATACAAGAATGAGTCAGGAAGAACTTGATTGAATAAATTTCATTCAAATAAATGAAATAATCTTTTGATCGTAGTGAAACATGTAATATAATAAATATTAAATAAATAAAACACACAAAATACAATTATATTGACACATATTTCTTATAATCTCGTTAAAATAATTGCAACTTTATTTGAAGAACATTTTTTATAGATTTCTAGTTGATTCTAATCAATTCCAGATATAAAATTCTTGTTTGTATTCATTTTTGGCGTTCTATTTATTTCAGATTTATACAGTGACAATGATGAAGGACTAGCAGGTGAATCTGATATCTTTGCTTCATTATCATCTTAACGTCCTTGCTCTTAACATTACTCCAAGGACTTTTTTTTAACTATCTTTATTAGTTAATTGTTTACTAACCTACATTCCAATAACAATTATGATATATGCATATATGTAATAATAATTAACTGTCACGTCTCTCTCTCTCTCTCACACACACACACACACACACACATACACAATTCTCAACATTTACAATTAGCCAATTTCATGTTCCACAGACAACAACTGTACGTTTTCCATCGAGCATTTTGTTTGCAAAATTAACGCGGATTAAAATGATTTAAATGATCCAATTAGAATATTTTCAAATGATTTCGTTTTAAATAGAAAAAGTTTGTCAAATAACTTCAGGTTAAAATAATTAATAACGGACCACAAGAAAACGCGTTTGCTAAAGGTCAAAAGGGGAAATCTACCCCTCTCCGAATGGTCGTTAAGCAACTTGGATTATATTGGGGTGATTTCCCCAAAGTGCTTGGCTAAGTATTAGGGGTTGTTATACGTTGTTGACAAAGTCATCAGTGACTGATTGATTATGTTTAACAATTTTAACAATGTGATCAATCATTGCTTTGCCAATTGTTGGAGATACTCAAGAAATTTGATCAAGTTAAGAGATTGAAATTTAACGCATTAAATCATCCATAATTTCAGGATGAATTTGTGCTGTCTCGCAAAAAAAGAGAGAGAGAGAGAGAGAGAGAGAAAGCAACCTATTTTTAAACCTCTCTTTTTTCTGTGCATTCCCTTTTCTTTTGTTAATTCAATGTTTCAACACACTCATACTTGAACGAAATGAATAAGAAATTAAGGAAATGTATAAAGGGATTCTTATGTATATAACAAAATTTCTAGCATCACAGTCAAAAAGTATAGTACAACGTGATACAAAAGAAAAAAATAAGAGAGAAACGTATTATATATATATATATATTTATCTCTTTTTCTTTCATTTGTTCATGTGTTCCAGTTTTAGGAAAAGTAAAACGT